TGTCTCAAAACATAAGTGTAGAAAGCAATCATGGAAAACACTTGCTGTCAACCTCTGGCCTGCATATGTATGTACACAAACAGGTACACACACATCTGTGTGCACACATGTGCACACACACAAAAACTAACTCTTCGTTATAAATTTTATACATCAATATTAACAAGAGCTCCAGAGTAGTTATAAGAAACAAAACTGTCTCGTTTAAAAGCTCCTTATTCTCTATGTGCATAAATGTTTGTGTGAGGATTTTTGTGTTAAATGAGCTGCTTTACTTAGCATCACATTGATAAATGTTGACTAGTCAAGGTGATCAATGACAGAAATGACAATTGGAAAATATGAAGATGTCTGATGGAAAAGTGGAGACTCACTGGCCTATCTTGAACCCTGAACCCTGCCCGCACAAAAGATAATGATCAGATATTCTCAACATGAAACCAACAGATGCCCAGTGGGCAGCATACCATGGAACTCCATAAATTTAATAAACAAAAACATGAAAACAACTCTCCTATAGAAACTCCTATTTCTCTAAGTACCACTATGTAAAAAACTAGAGGAAGCTTCTTTCCCTAAAACCCCAGCCCTCACCCCATCCTGTAATTCAGTTTCCTGCACAGCTGTGCCTACTGCTTCAATCCCCGTTCTCTAGTGCACCATTCCTTTTTCTCCTCCCTTTTCTAATCCCATTCAAAATCAAAGCTACCAGTCAAAATTAGCACATACTTTTGAGTTCAGGATTGCCAAGGCACCTTACTACCCAACAAGAATCTCAAGTATTTCTTAAAAATATTTACAGAGCTGAGACTATCCAACTGAAAGATACGGTTCTGGTTCTCACAGCTAATTTATTTTCAGTATATTCTCAAATAAAAGGGATCGAAGTTCCATATTCAAAACCCTAATTATAAGGAAAACTATTCACTTAAAGTTAGTTCTTACATAGTAATATCTCATCTGAACATAACATCATTAGCTCCTCTAAAAGTGTTGTCAGACTACATGGAACAATAAAGGCAGAAGGCTAGTTGTTATTGCTCAAGCATCCAAACAGGATTTTGGTTTTTCTGAGAGGCAGATTATTTAACCATATCATTCTATCTCTTAAAGATTATTTCACTTGCCACAGATATGCCTCAGATACTAGGCACAAGCATTTGAGTACCAGATCATGAGGGGCATAAGCCTATAATCTCAGCACCCAGGAGGCTGAGGGGTAGGATAATCTTGAATCCAAGTTCATCCTGGACTATACAGCAAGTTTCAGGCCACTCTAAGGTACATAGTGAGACCCTAACAAAATAGAAGGGACTAAAAATGCCATTCAGTGGTAGAGCACCTGCCTAGCATCCATAAGGTTCTGGACTCGATTCTCAGAACCACCACAAAAAATAACAAAAACAGCCACATTTCTTTAAGATTTCAATGATTCACCCGGGCCCACAGAGATGCAAACTGGAATAACAAAAGTTCCAAGACCAAAAAACAAGATCAAGAATGGTCAGGTTTGTGAGCTAACTCTCTCAGCAGGTAATTTTAACAGCAGGACCTTAGCTGAAATTAGGAGTGCTGCCGTTACTGACTACCACTGAACTGGCTTCTGATGGGTGCTGTTTCTTTATCTCTTCGTAAGACATTCATCAGACATTCCCAATTCAGGCAGAGTGCTCTATTAAAATCTACTCTGCCCAGAAGAAAAATGCCTTCAAATAGTACTACTTATCTCTGGAGCTTGTATTACTTTTAAAAACTCAACAATGTTTCTCAATTAGTATTTGTTCCATGTCAGTATTTTGCACATGACCAAAAATATTTGTGTGTCAGAACAGATGCCAAGAAGATTTTTGGAACAGATGGATGGTTATGGGGGAGGGCCATAAAAACAAAGCTTAATTTACAATGAACTTTTTTTTTGAAACTCCCTAGTATCTTTTTAAGAGCAATGAAAAAAATTTTAAGAAAGATAAGCTACTACCATCTGACTAGAGGATAACTGATAGCAAGTATGTTGGGTTTTTGTTCCAATTAAGTACAAAAGCAACAGAACTGGTATGTAGCAAAGTTCTCTTCCAATGCAGAAGTTTCCATCTAAATTCAATTTAGCAGTAATAATAAAGTTCCTATCTGCCTTGTGCCATTCAAGTCTTCTCTTAAACCGGTAACATCTAACATTTATAACAACATACCAGGCACTGTTCTCGGAGTTTTACCTGTAGTTTTCATCTTCTCCTGTGGGTACGGGGGAGGAACATGAAGGAAAATACACTGGTCCAATTTCATAGGTGAAATAACTAAAGCGGAAAATGTTTGAGTAATTTACAGAGCTCACATAGGAAATAATTTGTGGACCCAAAATTTTAACAACTACTCTATCTCCAGCTCATTATAAGCCACCAGCAAGCTAGGTATGTAGCGAATTGTACTCCATTTGATGGAATGTGTAAACACTAAGGTTGGGTTGACTAAGGGTGTACACTTTCCTAGCAGGTATGTCATTTGACTAGGTGACTTCTCCAAGCTTCAGTTTTCTTTCTGTAAAATAGTAATACTGAAGAAACAGGTCTTACTTTACAAGTCTATCAGTAGGGTTTAGAGTCATTATGCATGTTAAGTGTTAGCAGAATGCTGGTATACAAGCACTGCATAAATATTATTAGCTATCACTAGGACTTATCTTTATTTTCATAAACTCTTCTTAGAGGTAATAACCAAAACTCACCAATATTGACACAATAAACAGAGAGAGAGAACCAGAGACAGTAACACACATCTGCACTCCCAACACTAGGGAGACAAAGTTAGAAGGCTTGTCAATGTGAAACCAGCATGAGCTACAAGGCAAACCCTTAGGGGCTTAGACATACAGAACATGTTAGGTACTGTACAAACTCAAGACACAATCAGTCTCCTGACATCAAAAATATACAATCAAACCAACTGACTGCAGAATAAACACAAACACCAAAACCAGATGCACATATGGTTTTCGAGTTTTCCTTTGTGCTTCTGAATGTATGGTATCAAAAATAGTGAAGAAACGTGAAAACACTCCTCCTCCTAAATCCAGTGTGAAAACAACAAAGATTCAGAAGCAAATGGGCCGCGTGCTCTTAATCCCCAAATATTTTAACCATCTGGGACTAATGACCTCTTAATCAAACTGAAAAGAAAAGGCAAGGTGAGAGCTAGAAGCTAGGAAAAAAAAATGATATAGACACAAATTAGAAAGGATGGATGAATTAGAAAGGGAAATTACTAGTTAGCAAGTTTAAGAAAAGCATGTCCCATTCTGCAGCTTACCATGTGCCTACTGCCTCAGAAGACATCAACAGGCTGCTTCTAAGACTGCCTATCTTTACATTTTAGCCCATAAAACGGGAGGGGGGGGATAAAGAAAAGCACAGAGCACAGGAGTATTTTTGTCGAAGAGCAGAGCCAACATTATCCTATGTATCCTATGTATACTACATAGAGTTAGCTTCAGATCAACTCTAATAACTATGGCTAAATCATAATCCTCATAATGGACTATAAATTCCATTAGAGAAGTAACTTTTACAACTCCAAAATAAGACTCTAAAATAATTCTGGACCACAGCAGGAAACCTATTAACCTAATTCCTAAATCATAGGGGCATCTCTACATCATGCAATTTGAAGGTATTTTGTCATGTCACAACAGGGAATGATTGTGTGTGTGTGTGTGTGTGTGTGTGTGTGTTCATATACCTATATGGTAAGTCTCTGCTTTCACAATATAAAGGCATAGCAAACCACAGCTTTCCACTGCTGCACACATGCTTTTAAAGTATAGTAGAAGAATTTATTGCCTAGAAATCAATATAATACTTTTTAAAAATGTGAAGGTACTTTCCAACAGTAAAGCAATCTGTGCAAACCAAAAACTCAGTTTCATACAAGCAAAACTATGTTAAAATTTAATAAATAATTTATGTTTTCCAAGAGGTTCTTCTTAAAGTAACAGATGAACAACAAGGGCGTGTATTCACTCCACTGTCAGTCTGTATATTCTGATGAACACTTGTCTCCTCTCAGCCAGAGTTCCTCATCCAGTTCTCACCCACCCTATCCAATCCTAACAAACTGAAGTATAAACTGTATCTGATACTGTTTCTGTTCTTACACCACACTTAGAAGGTATCTTTAGGAAGAAAGATAAATTATTGACAATTTTTATTTTAAAATTTCATAAAGATGTATCTCTTTTTTTCTAAAAGCTTGACTGCAAAAGAGGGACAGAAACTCATTACTTTCAGTTTTACAGTAGGAATCAAATATTACCTAAAGTGGTCATTTAAAATTCTCCTGCCTCTGCTTCCTAAGTGCTGGGTTATAGACATGTGCTGTCATATCTGGCTTAGAAAAAAACACATGATCAAATAGTACCTAAAGTGGGTATAATTTTATAACCAAGGACAGTTTGGGATGACTATTGACTTGCTTTACACTACAATAATAGAAAGTCATATGAACATTTGTTCATATAGACTGTGTGCAGAAAAGTTTTGTCATAATAAATCCAAAAAGTAGGGACACGGGTCAGAAAGGAACAAGAGGAACAAATACTTTCAAATTCCCTTGTTTGTTCGAAATTGATCCCAGTTTAGCCTCTGTTCTGTCTACTATGACAAAATGCCACCACCTAGGTGCTTCTAATTCAGGCAAGTTCTGACACAGCATTCTCTTTTCTATAATGGCCTAGAAAAAAATCTTTTGAAGACACAGGAACATGTGTTTTCTTCTTATAAGGTTCTGTTCTACGGCACAAGAATTATTAAGGGGGAAGCGTACTGTGAATAGTCCTGTGAAGCTCTTAAGTGGAGAGATGAGCTTCTGGTATTCTCTTCCCTCCTCCAACATCAAGCTATTTTTTCTTACTTTTCTACAATAATTAACAAGCAAAACAGACTGGAAAAGGCCAAAAGAGGATGGATGTATTGTGTGTAGAAATGCGCAAAATGATAACACCTTGAAAATGTCAAAAATACAGGTTTAATAATGTGCAACTAATGAAGATGTTTATAAATTAAATGCCACCTACTACACATTTGGTCCCTAAATATATTATGCTATTAGTCATTAACATTAGACCTATAAGTACAAATTTTCCATCTGTGGAAAAGTAATGTTTTTAAATTAAAGAGAAATCATTACTTCTTAAAAATAAAACTATCAGGATATACTTCAAGTGTAGCTGCTCATAGTCACTGAGTAGAATAAAACATTTACGTTTCAACCAATGTACCTGTGTTGAAGCACATTTAGCTGAAGTAACGTTTAGTCTGGTTTATTTCATCACATAGAGTACATTTTTCCAACATAAACATGTACATTCAATATAGAACATTTCCAGCAACAATTACAGTCTTTCTAAATTCCTTTCACAGTATATTTTAGTGCAAAGCACTGAGAAAGATAAATGTTTTTCTACCTATAGAAGCATTTTATTATGACCTTCTAGATCTTTGACATTTAAAAGTTTATACAAAAAGGATACAGATGGACAAGGTCCATTCTAAGTACAGCTGTGAACCTATATAAAAACATGGTATACTTTCTGCAGTACCTTTTAAAATAATTTGACACAAATTACTAAAAAATAAAATATTCCCTAAAAGTACAAAATATTGATACACAAAAACCTGCCCAAAATTTCATAAAGATAGATGTATTTCTTTTTTTCCTAAAATCTTGATTACAAAAGATGGACAAGAATTCATTATTTTCCATTTTACAGTAGGAATCAAATATTATCTAAAGTGGTCATTTAAAATTTTTGCTTGGGAGAAAAAAATTAAGATGGACACCCCTATCTTCCTTTCCAGCAACATTTAAAGAAATAAAGTAGAAACATAAGAAGTGGTTGCACGTGGATTGTCTGCATCTATAAAATATCAGTAAGCTATTTATTACCTTCATATAAACAGTAGTAAATGTGTTCTTTAAAAAAATAGGAACTGAGAAGTAAGATTGCATCGATCATTAAAGTGCTTTATATAAAATTTAAAGAAAAATAGGGGAATGTTTAATTTTCATAAAAACGTCTGTTTACAAATGACAAATGTAATAATGATCTATGCATAAAATGAACTGGAACATTTTGTAGTATGTATTTCAGAATAAAACTTTCAAACATTTAAGTGCTAAAGAAAAACTCAATTTAAATGGATTCAGAATAACTATAAATACTCAGTAGCTACTAAATATTCATATGTACTGATACTGATCTGTCTTCTGATCCTATTGACAAGCTCTCTACAAAAGTCATACTTATCTATACAAGCTAGATAAAATTTTGCATGTAAAACAAAATAAACTTAAACCACTAAAAACACAAAGTTTATATCAATTGAAAACTATTATTTCCTTCAAGTTGTTGATCATTTTAATCAACAAATTATTTGGAAAGTGAAATTCCCAACATTTTTGTAGAAATTGTAGACTATATATTCAAGGTCTATGAAGACAATATATAATATCACAGCTACTCGAAAGTGCTGGAATGGGCATTGCCTTAGAAACTGGTTAGATGGTTATTGTTTTTAGTCAGAAATCAGCAGTTACAGTTGAGATTTTATGAAAATGTTCTTTTTTTTTTTTCCTCATAGTACCATGTGAAGACGTTTAGTGGTTCTAACAACTTAAAGTCTTTCCACAAAAATGAACTCCAAACCTTTTCGTACATCACTTGAAGTTATCTGAGGAGAAATAGGAATAAATGAACACTTTGAGTTTACCAATAAAACCTCGTCTTCAAATTACACAACAGAAATGACTACTAAAGGATGGTTTCATCTTAAGTCTCCCACACAAGTAAAAACAGTGTGATCATCAAACCACATTAACATACTAAGCACTGAAACTAAGAACTTTACTTTAGAGGCTGTATCTCAAACTTATGTAATACTAGGGACATTAAATGTCTAATTGCAAGGGGCATAGGTGTTGCAAACAAACTTTAAAAATATAGAGACCTACAAAACGAAGTATAGAGGGTCTACTCCCTATTTTACTTCACATTTTATAATATTTAATTTGTTCCAGAATTTCTTTTAAAAAGTAAAATTGTTCTTTCTTCCAAAGAAGGGTTTTGCTTTCCTTTTGGCCAAAATCATTCTCATCATTCTCATTTCTCTCTCTCCTTTCTCTCTCTCTCTCTCTCTCTCTCTCTCTCTCTCCCTCTCTCTCTCTCTCTCTCACACACACACACACACACACACACACACACAAAACTACTGAATAATACTAACTACACTGAAATGATCACTTATAAGTTTATTAAACAGAAAGGGAAACAAGAATATATGTACCTAAAAAATCTTTCCCTATAGATCAAAACTTAAAAACTCACTAACATATAATCCTAAAACAAACAAACAAACAAACTTGTGTTTACTAACTTTACCCCTTCCCCTGGAAGTAACGTGCTAAAAGTAAATAATAAATGTTAATTTTTCTAAATTCCACCTGGGGATTTTTTTCTAAGTCCTTATTTAACCATTAAAAAATTTTACAATAATTACAATTCCTTAAAATGTTTTTCCTATAATAATTTCCTTCATAAATTCATTCTAATATATTTAACTTTCCTACAATGCATTAGGATTAGTAGACTAAATAAAATTAGTAGACTGAGTCAAATTAAACCTGTGCAAGTTAGTTAAACACGAGATTTCTATGTAAACATAGACCGAAATAAATGTGTATATTTTCCAACATTAAAACAAAAACAAAAGCACTGACCCTGTGTCATCTACCTACAGCTACATTGCATTGTCCTGTGGAAGGCAAGTTCTGAAATCAACTTTTGTTCCCAAGCTACTGGAATAAAGGTCACTGAGAGATAAAAGCAATAACCATCCCTCTTGCAGTTCCTACTGCCATATGATTTATGGAAGAAAAAAATATGTTAAAATGGAACCAGCTATAAATTATGGCCAAATGATTTTGTTTAGATCGATGAGGGGGAGGGGGAACAAAACTCTGTAACTGTTCCTCACCAGACAAGAGCCTTAGATCTTGTACTTCGGCCTTTGGTTTTGTTTCCTTCAGGTGAATTGGTAGCATTTGCCTTATGAGTTTTCTTATGATGTTCAAGGTATGTCTTTTTAGCAAATGCCTTTCCACATTTATTGCATCTGTGAAGAGAAAAGTTTTTTGTGACTTTCACTTCAATACCGACGTCGGCTACTTCAAACTTTTTACTAGGAGAATTGGAAGCGCCATCATGTTTTGAATCATTGTGTTTTGCTTCATCCCTTGAAGGGCCTCTTTTTGCTACTTTGTTTAGAACAAAATCAATAGGCTTTTTTATAGCTCTGATCTCTAAACTGGCTGTTATTTTCCCAAGGTAACGAGATGACTTTTTATGAACCACAGTTATATGTCTTATCACATCACGTTTCCGACGAGTTTCGTAAGTGCAGAGAGGACACTTGTAGAACTTAACATAAATGTTATTTCCATCTGTGTGCAACTCTATGTGTTTAGTCAAGTTCTGCTTGGAAGTAAACTGGCGTTTACAGAGTTTACAGTAAAGTTGCTTAAAGTCAAAGCCAGCTGAAAGTTTTGGTTTTCTGGTTTTTTGCTGGCCACCTGCAGCTGAAGGACTAGCTGATTTAGGGCTTTCAGAGTCCTGTTTAGCTTTATTTTTCTGCGTTGCCGGTGTGTTCTTTTTTTCATTTGAATGATTTGTTCCCTTGAGTTCATTCTGTGGAGAATGGGTAATGGAAGGGGGTGAAGACTCTACAGAATCTGCTGGCTCAACTTTAACTTTTACTTCTGAACTGCTGGCAGTATTATTAGGGCCTTTCTCTCTTTTAGAGTTTGCTCCAGAAAGAGTTATCTTGTGGACAATTTGCATATGTCTCTTAAGCATTATTTGTGAACTGTATTTCCTCTTGCAAAGGAGGCATTTGCATGCAGTTAAATTGTATTCAGCCTTTGAAGACTTTTGTTTTCGAGTCTTAAAAGATTTTTTAGGAGAAGCGGAATCCAGGAACAAAGGTTGCCCAGGCTTTGTCGCTATATCAGGAGTAATTGAATCCCTCCTCAGTCCTCTGTGAACTTCATCAAAATGCCTCCTTACATTCGCTTTTGTAGCAAATGATTTACAACAAACTGGACAACTCCTACTTAATGAAACCAGAACATTCTTACTGCGTCCTTTTGAAGACTGGTTTGGAGTCTTTCGTGTTTCAATGTATTTTTTTAGTTCTTCCATCTTTTTCTTGTGTACTTTTCGAATGTGACGACGGACACCTCGTCTAGAATTGAATTCTTTTCTACAAAGACAACATATCAACTGGTGACCAAGGTCAGAACTGTCAGATGTCTCCAAGTCAGCCTGTGATTCCTGAGGTTGTTCCTCGGCAGGAGCGGTGGCTTCATCTACAACAGTCTCTACAGGAGGAGACTCTATGGCCTCCACCACCTCTGTGTCTGCATCGGGGACTGCTTTTGGCTGTTCCGAGCTTGTCTCCTGTATTTGAACTTCAGTTTGTTCAGGGGTACTGCTTGACTCTGTCACTTCAGCAGGATTATCAGTCCTTGAAATGTATTGAAACACTGCATTTTGGTTGGTTTCTATGGGTTCTAGCTTAATAATATATTCTCTCTTGTCCACTCTTGGATATATGGCTTCTAAGAGATCACTTATGGCTTGGCTTTGCTTATCATTTACATCAGGAAGATCTGTGAAGAAAAAAAAAACTGTTTTTAACCTGAAAAAATTAACTTGCTCTAACCCTCTAATATTTTAAAATATGTAATGAAACAGTTTTTAGTAGTACATGTATCTTTTTATAGCATTATCTACTTTTCAGTATTTTATGAACATAAAACCTAGTTATTAACTAAATTAAAACTTTGCTTTAATTTACCAAATGAGAAAGGTTTAATCTGAAGAGCTACTTCTGCTTCTAAGGTCCCTTACTATAAAACAGACAAGCACATGGATCACCCTACACAATAAAAATACCATCACTTATTTTTTAGTCTGAAAATTTTAGAGTACGAAAGCCAACTCAAGTTGTTACAACTCAGAATGGATACAATATCAGGAAGGATGTTACTATACATATGATTTTTAATACAATATAGTAGTGTTCTAGTCAATGTAAGCCTTAAAAAACAATACAGATTCTGTCCACTGAGACAGCTGAACAGAAATAAGAAAATATTTGCACATCAAAATAAATGGCATGAGGTATAAAAACCCAGTCTTATACAATTTTCTCAACATAATATTTTAATAAAACAATTGGTTAAAAACTATCCATTAGTCTAGTTTTGCTTATTTATGCAATAGCCACCCCTTCAATAGGCAACCAAGTAAGTCTTCTCAGCAAGGCCAGCCGGCATCAGTTATGGTTCCACATACAATTCTAAAATCTAGTTACACATATAATACTACATCTAATGACTACTTAGAAATCACAACCTAATCCACTGTAATTCTTCTCACCCTCTTTCTCCTCTTCCTCATTTTCATGAGTGTGCTTGGTGTGTATATGTTTACATGTGAGGGTATTTATGTGTGGGTATATGTGTGTATGCTTGTGGAAACCAAAGGTTGATGGTGAGTCACCCTCCATCACTCTCACCTTATTCCTTCTGGCAGGTTCAGAACCTGAACTCACTAATGTGTCTTGCTAGTCAGCTTGCATGAGAGATTCCCCTGTCTCCACTTTCTGAGGCTGAAGTTACAGACAGGCCACCATCCCACTCTGCATGTATATAGGTTCTAGAGACACAAACTCTGATCCTCAAGATTTTGTGATAAGCCAACCATCTTCACAGCCCTTATTTCTTTTTGTAAATAGTAATGCAGTGTGATAATACTTTCATGAAAGTATATGTAGAGCCGCCAAGAATAATGTACAAAAATCTGGTAACTCCATTTATCAACTGTACTATATAAATTACCTATAATATAGTGAGGAACACCAAGAAATCAAATTCTACTTTAATTAAAATGTTAGACTTTAAAATATTTTCTCTAAACTACCTTTTAATTTACAATTCAATAATAAAAGGTTCAATGTGATCAAATATAAGCACATGGAATATCTTCAACAATAAAAATATTATCACTTTTAGTCTCAAAGATTTAGACTAGCAAAACCAACCCAAAGTTTCCATAACCCAGGATGGATAAAGCACCACGAAGAATATTATCTTAAGTTCCCATAAAATACGACTATATTCTTTATGTAAAAATTTCTAGACAAATATGAAATATCTTATCTATATACTATAATACATTTTAGCATAATTTAACAATAATTAAAGAAATACTTTATTATTTAATTTTTGCATTATATCTCCCTACCAAAAAGCTTTAAAACAAAAAAAGGTGAGTTTAAGTTGAAAAATGCGAAAGAGCCACAATGTAACTATGGTACCATGTTACTAAAATAAATATCTCATTTTGTAAATCTGCAAAGTTTAAATCCCTGAACAAGAAATAATGAAGGTACCTAGTATTACTATGTTTTAAAGAATTAATATAAATTCTTTAAAACAAGAAAAAATAACACTTATACATATTATTTATTCAAAAAACATTTGGTTCCACAAAGACTATTAGAATGCTAACTTGCCTTTAATCACAAAAAGTAATAATCTTGTTTGTCTAGATTCAATCTAATACTGGTTATGTATAAATAAATTTCACTAAGAACAAATATAATCCTCATATTAAAATACAGAAAACACTAAAAGGTTAATAAATATTTTTAATGCTCTCTGCCATTCTCGAAATATCAAGTAATTTACTCATTCTTGGCTACTTATTGAAAGCATTTTCATTTACTTAAGGAGAGTCTGAGTATGCAATCAATCATATTTAGCAACAAGCTGTTAAATTAAAATAATATACTATTAAATTGCTCCCTTAAAGACAGAATTAATATTCTAACTTTCAAACATTAACTAAACTATATATGACCCATATAGACATTCAAAAACAATCCTCAATATTTCAATACAAATAAATATATTCACAGATTTAAATTCATAGATTAGGAAAAATAAATGAAAACACTGATACATATATATGTATATATCTGTATATGTATATGTATCCAAGAAAGTGAATATAACAATGTCAAATGTTTCATATTCTGCATCACTCAGTTACCTATAACTATGTATCAATTCCATTTTAATACAAAAATACATAGAAGCAGTAAAAATACTTAACTTTAAAATGTATAAATGCATATATGAATAAAACTTACTGTCATCCATTTGGAGACTTGGTGGGCAGTAAAATTTTTTATGAGTAATTAAATTTGGTAATCCTCTAAAGAGACTACGGCATAATTTACATTCAAAAATAGTGTCCACATCTTTTAATAAAATATGTTTAAGTTGTTTGGTTCCTGGAGGGAAAAGAAATATATAAAAATTAATTCTGACCTGCATTTTTAAAAAGGTTATTAACCTGATAATCCAAAAGCACATTTACTCTGAAAACAAGACACAGATAATGCTATTTTCTACCACAGAATATTTATTAACTAAAGGATAAATTCTAAGCAAATATTATGATTTGGCAATTTAGACAGCCAAACTCTGATTCCCTCCTCCTACTTCAGTAGTTAATCAATTCACTGGATATTCCAAGACAGTGTTTTGGACATCAGATTGAGCACTGAAAATAAATCCCTAAAGCCTTCCCTAGAGATTATCATTTGGAAGGTTTGGAAACACAAGAAATATTTCTCATCATTTCTTTACATTTCTGCTGGTTCTGCCAGCTCTTTTCTAAACATGGAAATGAAAAATAAGAGGATTTTGGTTTGGGGGGGTTTTTTAAACACATTTCTTAATCGATTAAAGGTCTGTATTTTGCCACATGATTATCTATGACTATCCTTTTAAAATTAGGTTTACATTACTTCAGGCTCTGGGCCAACATGGAGTTATGCTTTTTCCCTTTTCCCCTACTGAGAGGGAATTTTGAACTTTGCTCAGGCTCCTTGATAGCACTATCAATTTATATACCTCAAGCCTTTATCCATGAGAAATCTTGCCCCAATTCCAATATATGTCAATATAATTACTGTGGTCTAATTAGATTATAAACCCTCAAAGCAGCCAGGACCAAGCCTATCATTTATAACCACAAGTATTCAGTTCTAATAATAGAGAAACGCTACTGATCTAGGGAAATCTAAACACTGTGGTGGAAGATCAAAAGATACAGAAGAAAAATTGGCAAAAAAAAAAAAAAATACCAAAACTTTAAAACATCCACAAGGAATAAAGCACAAACAAGACTTTGTTTTTACTTCCTACAGGTCTTTGCTATAGTAACTTACTAATTAATATAAATACCTTAATTTTGTCACTTTCATTGACAAGGTATCCTGACTAATGCCCTTAAGATCATTTAAGTACTGAATATTCTGTCGTTTAACAAGCATTTTTGCCTGAAGCTCTGGTACTACTGAAGAATATAAACTGTCTTAACATAGTGTAATTAAAACTGTAGGGTCTACCACACCCAGACATTAGATGAAGCTCCAGGAAGCCTGCAAAAAAGGGAGAGAAAGGATTGTGGGAGCCAGAAGGGTCTTAGACACCAAAATACAACTCACAGAATCAACTAAGTAGGGCTCATAGGGGCTCACAGAGACTGAAATGTCAATCACAACCCTGCTTGGGTCTGTGCTAGGTCTTCTGTACACATGCTACAGTTGTTTCACTTGGAGTATTTGTGGTACTCCTAACAGTGGGAGTGAGGGTGTCTCTGACTCTTTGGCCTGCTCTTGGGACACTTTTCCTCCTACTTGATAAGGGTTTGTGCCTAGTCTCATTACATCTTGTTATGTTATGTTTGGCTGGTATCACTTGAAAGCCTAGAAATCCCTTTTCTAAAGGGAAACAGGAGCAGTGGATCTGGAAGACAGAAGAGGTGAGGGGTGGTTGGGAGACTGGGAAGAGTGGAAAGAGGAGTCTACAGTTAGGATGTACCGTAAGAGAGAAGAATAAATGAAAAGAAAAATGTAGGGTCTATAAAAGTTCAATGTTTTTAACCCAATCTTTAGCAACTTACATTTATATTTAACTTTTTTTTTTTTTTAGATGTAGGCAGGAATAGTGTACTACCATCTTTATTGAATTGTGAGAGCCACTACCCATTTGCATATTTTCAAAACAATCAGTCCCACACTTTTTTTTTCTATAATAGTGTTCAGTATAAATCTTCCAGGGCCCAACATATATTTAACTTTTAAGAGTATATTTTATCATTATGTTAAAAATAGGCCAGACCTCAAAATTCTATTGTAAAAAGATAATACAACTTGATAAGTGTAGCCAGACTTTTCTATTTTTGTATGTTCTTCTTTTTCCTATTCTTTATCCCACCATTCCACCCCTGGTTTCACCCCCTTTTACTAAATCACTAGAAGGAAAGAAAGGAGGAGAGGGGAAGAGAGGGGAGAGGAAGGGAGGAGAGGGAAGGAGGAGAGAAGGGAGGAGAGGGGAGGGGAGGGGAGGGAGAGGGAGATCTTTGAATCTAATTTCTTCTTGTTTCTTCTTTGAGCGCAACTACTAACAAACTACAACCAACCCCTCTAATGACCAGCCTCTCGGGAACCTAGCATTTATATGCCCTCTAAAAAGTTCTCAGATTTCCAAGTATCACACAATCACAGAAGCTATCAGTAGCTGGCAAAACCATGCCACTGCTAGAACACGAGGCAACTCATAGAAAGCTGCTTCAAAGCAGCCCCAGATCCCACACCTGGATTAAACCACAGTCTTTTAATATTTCTGTGTTTTTTAAAGAAATCAAATTCCCAGAATTCTCACTACAGAAAAGATTTGTTAATGTGATCTTATCTAGCTATTTTTTTTTCTTTTTTCTTTTTCTGTTTTTGTTGTTACTTGCTGTGCTTTGTTTTTCGAGACAAAAGTTTCTTTGTATAGCCCTGGCTGTCCTGGAACTAGCTCTGTAGACTAGGATGGCCTCAAAATCACAGAAATCTGCCTGCCTCTGCTGGGATTAAAGGCATGTGCCACTACCACCTGGCTAGTTATATTATCTTAACAAACTATATAATATCTGCGGTTGTTTTTTAAGCTTCACCATCTTGTATCATAGAACAAAACAAAACAAAACTAGCCATTTCACATTACTAAGGAGTTCATGATAGTCAGCTAATATATTTGGTTCCTTTTGGTTCCTATCTAGCCCCAAAGTCATTACCAAACTATGTGAGGTAAACCAAGGAATGAAATGAAATACTTCAGCTAAGCCTCTGTAACAGATAAACATTTGGTTTCATAAAATGTAGCTGAATATAGGGAGGGGGAAAAAAGGAAAATTTTGTGTACTGATTCTAAATTAAAAGAACCACTATACCCAAAATAGAAATTGAATCTTGCCTTTAAAAAATAGTCAACAGAGCCTATTGTGGTGAATATACCTGTAGGATATAGCAAAGAGACAGAGGCAAGAGATCATGAGTGAGGACAGCCTGGGCTATACCTTTTGGCTCTGCAGTTAAAATCACTTACTGCACTTGCAGAAGACCTGGATTCAGTTCCCACCACCCATATAAAGGCTGGCAACCATCCATAAATCCAGTTCCAGGGGATCCAACAACCTCTCTGGCTTCAGCAGGTACCAGGCATACATATGGTGCACAAACATGCATGCAAGCAAAAGACTTTCACACATAAAGTAAAAATATCTTTTTAAAAAATAGTTGACACTGAAGGAAAAATGATTGAAGAAAAATAAATCTATTTAACTAAAAAAACGCAACTAAAGGGGTTAGAAAGATGGCTGTGTGGGTAAGAGGATGCTCTGCTCTTGCAGAGGATGCAAGTTTGGTTTTCTGCACCCTCGTCTGGAAGCTCATTAACTACCTTCAACTCCAGGTCCAGAAGGATCTAGCACCTCTGGCCTCTGCAGGCACCTACAGAGTACATGTTCACTGTACTCACAGACAGACAAACAGACAGACAGACACACACACACATACAAACATATAGACATAATTAAAAACAATTTAAAAATTGACTTTTAACTTTAAGTTTAAATAAGCAAATAGCAGCATATTTAAAGCATTACCAATCTCATATAAGCATGAGGCTATAATTAATAAACAGTAAGGTATAAACGTAAAAGATTTATCTCCTTAAATTAGGTCACTTTGTCCACTAGGCTCTCTTGATCTTAAAAAAAGACAAACATTAATTTCTTAATATTCCTATTCAAATAGTTCTATTTAGTAGTGAGCATATTACTTATTCCCAATAGGCATTTAAAAAAAAAGTATCTTCTCTATCCTATCAGTTATAAACACTTACTTCAAAATACAAACACGCATACGCACACACACACATGCACATGCCTGCCAGTTACTCAGGCACACCAATTTCTTTTAGGTCAGAAATACAGCTGATGTCCTCTTGCTCCTCTGTCCTTTGTGTGCCATCACCCTCATGACTTGTACTATAACACCTCCCTCCCTGTTCTGACTCCAGACCCCAGGTCAGATGTCACTTCCACTAGGAAGCCTTCTCTGAGAAGAATCTATCACCTGCACTCTCAACGGCCCTTCTCATCTCCTCAGCTGCCCGACTAGCTTGCACTTAGTCAGTGTATCTTCTGTTTACCCACTGTGTATGATATCTAAGAGAAGAGTTACCCTGATGCTCACTGCTGTGTTCCTATCTTCAGGACAATGCCTGGATGACTTTATTAAAAAATCTCTATATATGGTTTTCTAATGCTTCACACTTACAAACGAGAAAAATAAGATGTGGCTTGTTGCACAAACAGATATTAAAAGGTTTCAGCCACCATTTAAGACGCTGTATTTTTTCCATCATAACAGAACGATTTATTCAAAACTCAGCTACCACTTTTCTGATTGCTAAGTCACAAACAGACACAGCCTCTGTCATACTAAACTCCTCCTTCCCTGAGACACAGGCATGGTAATCTAGACAGCAGCATAAGTTCATCCACACTTGTAATCCTGAGAAAGAGTCATGCTGATTTTATCCAAATTATTTCTTTTTTAAAAATAATTACTCTCTTTTATTTAGCTTCTTAAATTACCTTAGAACTCACTGTTTAATAGATCATCAAGCAAGATCTTAACAACAACAAAAAGGGTAAGAGTTTTGGCAGTAGAAAACTGATACATACGATAGTAACTTATAAGTAGGATAAATTACTTTAAGACTGTGCCTACTTGATGAATCTTTCACTTTCCCCTAACAAACACTCAATGTAGCACCCATTAAATGTCACATACAATACTATTCAATTCACTGGAAACACGTAAGTAAAGGATATGGTTTACCAATACTGAAAACTTCAAACTTGTATAACTACCTGCTCTCAAGAACATAA